TGGGACCTGCGTAGGTAGGGCCCAAGCCCTGGGCTGAGTGCACAGTCCCAGCCTGCCCTGTGTTTTGGGGGGGGGGGGGTGTTAAGGTCCCTGTAGCACCCACTCTGGACCTGCCCACCCCGGCCATGATGAGCAGTGGCAGCAGAAAAATGCGGAACCCAGAGCCTGTGCCAGGGCTGTCTTGCAGCTCCTTCCTGCAGTTGCCACTGCCACCAGCGCTGCCTCCAGGCCCCCCATGCCTAGCAGGGCAGCTCTGGGTCCCACTTTGTCTCGCCACTGCCGCTACGGCCAGGGCAGGCAGGTCAGGAATGAGCACTGCAGGGACCCCGACCACCCACACAGGGTCTGGGGCTCAGGCCCTGGCCACAGATCCTGGATGGTTGCCAAGGGGCTGGAGCCAGCAGCAGGGGCAGCCGGAAGAAGCTGTCGTGGCTGCTGGGAAATGGAGTCTGGCCACGGAGCCACCCCAGCCCTGCTGCCTGCCCAGGGGTGGCAAGACACACCACAGGCCAGACAGTGCCCAGGCCAGGCAGGACTGAGGGACCCGCCACGGGTTAGACAAAGTCCCTCTGTGGGCTGGATCTAGCCCGGGCTGCATTTTGCCTATCCCCGTACTAATTGTTAGACAAACTGGTCTAAAAGATTACTTATTGATAGCCACAACATTTTTAAATATAGCTACCATTTACTAGCCACATATACATGGAATCCTAATCCGATGCTTTACATATACACAGTTGCACATACAATACATTTATAGTGCACACAATGGTACACCCATATGGGAAGATGCAAATACCTTGATTTCCAACAATCTGTGGCTGTATGACGTGCATGACTGCGTGTTCTACTGGAGAATTCTCCACTGATTGAAAACTAGCACCATATGTTACAATATTTCAAATAGTAAAAAACAGCTAATAACATTCTAAAGACCATATAACAGCTGACTGACAAAACGCAGATCCCAAGGCTCTAGCAAATCCTTCTGCCCTCCTTGCATGTCTCCTTTTTTCCAAGAAAAAGTTTTTGTTCATCATTTAAGCAAATGCTTACAGGTAATGTAAAGGCATCCAATCTTTTAATACCAGAAGAGACTAGTAAAGCAGGAAGGTGCAAACCCTATCCTTTAACCTGCAAGACAATCATCTGCAGCTAAATACCTTCTCCCATAATACTTACTGCACAAAGTCCTGCTGGAATCTTATCAGCAGGAGCCTGCATGATGCTGACAAGAGTTGGGATTAATCTCATCTGCATCGGACCTTGGCAGGCTTCTATCTGCGCTAGCTCTTTGAAGATATCTTGGGCAAGAGAGGCCACAACTGGATCTGAAATGAGAAAGCACGAATTATGAAGACAAATTCACAGATGTTTGTCTCCAAAGGGAAAACTGCAAATTTCAAGACATGTTACAGAAATAGCTTTTACTGGATCGTCCAATTACACGGCCATTTCTTTTAGCCACACTAAAGAAAACAAAGTTGCACAGGAAATGAAATTCTTCAAGATTCACTGCCCACATACACATTCTCAATCCTTACTAAAGGAGGGAAGTGTGCTAAACATTGCTCCAGGTCAAACCAATTCTGTATCTCCTGTATAGGCCCCAACAACATGCAGCCAGAGCCAGCACCAGCATTTCCTGCTCTGGACCACTGCTTGTCCCAGAGTCATGGAGACCATTTTCTTTAATCAGGGGTGCTCAAAGATCCAGCTTGTTTTATGTGGCCAGTGGGACTCATAGAACAGCTGGGAATTCAGGGGCAAGGCCAGCTGTCAAATTCCCAGTGACAGAGCCCTGGTGTGTGTGTGTCAGCAGCTGGCCCACAAGAGGCCCCCTGATATAGGCCCCTACCCTCTATCAAGGTGATAGCCTATGATGTTTCCTTGTCAGCCATGTCAGGTTGGCATAATCATTCAAATTTGAATCCAGCTGTTCAGTTCTCATACTGGGTGCACATGGTTTCCTGAACACTTGTTACCCAGTCAGGATGCCTGTTGTGACACAGGATTTGAAATAAAGTATATTTTTGGAACAATTAACTAAGAGATGTAGTAGGTTCGTCGTCACCTGAAGTCTTTAAATCCCAAGTGGTGACTTTCTAAAGTAGTGGTTGAATTAACTCATTAAATATGGGTCAGTTACAGAAATCAATGAATAAAATTCTCTGGCACTTAAGGAGAACAGACTTGTTATAACGGTGACCCCTTCTGGCCTTAATATATGAACCAATGCATTTCTGAACTGTTTCTCTGTAAATTTTAAACACTAAATTTAAAAATCAACTTTACAAGACATTAAGCTTAACAAGGGTTCATATGCAAAAATAGCTATATTGTCAGAGACAAACCTTAGGCACATACCATTACTATACTTAAGGAAGATTGCAATAGTGAAGGGACAGATCTTGTTCTCCACACTTGCTGTAAAAGCTGGGTCTACTGTACAGACAATGCAGAGTGTTTCCATCACAAGATTTAAGACTTCTGAACTGAACTGAGTTGCCAAGTGGATCAGTCCATCAAGGATACTGGGAAGGAAAGGCTGCAATACATGTGTGCTTTCAGAGCTCTTCAGCTGGTCACAGTAACTAAAGAAAAACATGGCAGAAAACAGAACTTCAGTTCTAACTAGAACAGGGGTGTCAAATATGCTACCTATAGGCCGGATCAGGCTCAAGAGCATTATCATCTGGCCTGCAGAGCTCCTAACAGGGCTGAGAATTAGGCAGCAGTGGAAGTGGTGGTGGTGTTAACTCCAATGGCTCCCTGAGCCAGCAGCTCCAGCACTGCTGTTAATCCTGCCACAGAGTTTTGCGGTACATTGGGTAGCAATTAGGCAAGAGATGGTAGCATTAACCCCGGGGGCTCCTGAGCTGCTCTGCCCATTCAGGAAGCCACAAGCTTAAATACTGCCATCACATGTCCAGGAGGATAGAGTCCTACTGGGTACCTGCTTTGAGTAACAGTGATTTTCAACCCTGTGGCTCCCTGAGGTGACACAGCAGCTGCAGGTTCTTGAGGGGTTAACACCCTGTTGCTACTCATCCCAACCCATTGCTCCCCAAATAAATCTGTAGCAGGGCTCTGTACCTGACAATTCAGTGGCAGGACAAGTGAGACTGCTCATCCTGTCACTGGAAGTGGGACCTGATCCAGCTCACAAGGAGCACTGCAATCTGAAACTGGCTAGGGGGAAGAAGAGGGGGCCTGGCTGGACCTGGGAGCAGGAACTCCTGAGCTTTAACCTATGCCAGTCTCCCCCTGTACGGGGGGGAAGGCAGAGATAAGGATGGGCTCCTCTCCCTCTACTGCTGCTGATGCTCCAGGGAGCTCCTGCAACACCTGTGGACCCTCCCCTCCCCACTCCACTGCCAACTATCTGCTGCTGCAACTCCACATTTACCCTCTTCTGACAAATAATGTACCCCTTCCTCCATTTCCACTGTTTGTCCATAATCTGAAAAAGCCAGATTGTGCTTCTCTTTTCCCTCCTGTGTGGGTCTGAGTGTTTGCGTTTTGTTAGTCTAATCTCTTCTTCTCACCCTACCCTGTGATCATAGGCGGTGGAAGGCTGGGGCTAATGGGGCTCAGCCCCCTCAAACATGGGGCAAAGGGTAGGGCTACAGCACAGCCCAACAGCGAGCTCGAGGAGGCTCCAGCAGGGCTGAGGAGGGGCACACACACAGCCAGGCGTGTGGATCACTGCCCAGCACAGCAGGCAAGTACCTGTCCCACCCTTCTAGCTAAACACCTTGGCCTTTCCTCCCCACCTCACCCTCACACCACCTCCCAACCTGCACCCCAGCATAGAGTCACCCCTCAAGCTCAAAGGACCCTGCAACCTGAGCAACCCATGGGGTCCCAGGGCAAAGGAGAAGGAGAGCTGGGGGCACTTCTGCCCCCACAACCACCACCACCAGCCCCTTCCAGCCCTACTTGCTTATATTCCTATGAGCCAGTACCTCCTTCTGTCCCCATGCTTTCTTACTGTGGTGTTTTGAAAGCATTTGTCATACTGACTTTCAACAGCATATCTTACGTGGTCAATTTGTGTAGTTTTAGGTTGGTTTAGAACTTTATAATGTTTTAAGAGTCAAACCTGCCCCTCATTTATAAAAAGTCTGCCTCCAAAGTACACCTCAATTTTCCTTATCTATAGCACCAACTGTATTAAACCATTTCTTCTCAAAAGATTCTTTTCCATCCACAAGGTCAATCATACTGTGTGGTCTACTTACCCCCAGATAGCCCTGACTGCAGAAATCCGGACAGAAGGGGGCTGGGTCTCATGGAGACCACTGACTGTAGCCTGTAGGAACTGCTGGATTAGTTCTGGAGACATAGCAACCGTGAAACGACTGGCAGCCCAAAGAGCTCGGCCCAGCAGGAAAGGAGAGACTGAAGGAAGAGAAATGTTTTAGACTAAGTTTTGCAAATTTAAGATTAGTATAATTTTTTTTTCCTGCATCCAAATACTCTGCTCTCCTCTCCCTACAATGCAGTATTTTATAGGAAGGTCTTCTACATGTCAGAGAAGACCAATAAAGCCGGGGGCAGGGCAATTGATCTAGTCTGCATGATGAAATCCAAAGAACCCAAGCTTTCATTTTTTAAAATGTTCCTACTTTCATAGGTGCTAATCAAACCTTCAGTTGGTAACACAAATGTATGCAATACAATCCTGTAAAGGTTTCCCCAACACTGAAACAAACGGAATATGGAAGAAGAATGAAGTTCACGACAATGAAAATTCGGAAAAAGGAAAGGAGAAAAAAAAGAGACCAAATTTCAGACCTTAAATCAAATGACCTTCTTCTCAGAATGAAATTCAAAGTTTTCAAAAATGGCTAAACAACAGGAGGAAGGGTGTTAATTTGAAGTAAACTCACAGGAAAGAAGGGGGGGGGGGAAAAAAAAAAAAAAAAAAAAAAATCAAGCAGCAGGCAAGTGACTTCAATACAATTATATTCAACATACTGTTAGTAAAGTGAGTACCAAAAAGGGATGTGGTGCCACAACTTTAGAAGGGGCACTTTCACTTAAAATGAAATTAGTCAAAATATTTAAAAGTGAAATTCATAGAGGTTACACAGAAGCCACTCAGACGCACAAACATGGACAGCTTCAGAACCACAGTTAAACAGAAAGGAAACCAGGCAATAAAGGGGTGAACCAATATAGCTAAATAACAAGATTCATTTGGAAACCAGACTGTAGGAAAACCTATAGACAAGGGTATGAGTTACAGGAAGCCAAATGAAGTAGTTTGAGAGCCAAAATTGAAATTTCAAAGAGCAAACAGCTCAAGTTAAAAAAAAACAACTAAATTAACGTTGTTTAAGTATATCAGAAACAGGTAAGCTGTGAAAGAAGTAATAAGTACAGTTGATAAACCAAGGGTTAAACGTAAGGACATGGCCAAAATGTTAAGTGATTTCTCTGTGTCAGCCTTCATTACTGGCAGTGTTGGAGATATTCCTACCTTCAACATTCCTTTATGGTAATAAAGATGAGGCTTTCACAGAAACTGATGGATCAGAAGAGGTGTGGAACAAACCGACCACTTAAAATACAATCCAGATTGGGGATTTGACCATTTAAAATACAGCACAAGGTCCAGACTGGGTAATGGGATGATGATTAACTTAAGTGTTCCTCCCCTATTCACACCTGAGAGAAATCAATCACTGAGAATTAGCATCCAAAATGGGCATGGTTTAATGGCCACTCAAATAGGTTGTTGGGGGGCTGGGGGGCACAGGGGTCAGGCTCTTCCATGTGGCGATGAATTTACATGTTAAAAGGAGAGGCTTGTAGCAAGTACGACTCCTGGAAATAGGCTATTCAAAGAATATTCTTCACTGCCTGAGTGCTGCACTGCAGTTGCCGGCAGCACGGGTATTTATTGGCTATATTATCAGCCCCATCGGGCCAATGTCTGATACAGCCAGTTTTCTTTCTATCGGTACTGATCCAATATCAGAATGATGTATTGGTGCA